AGCATGTTGCCAATAACTATGATTGATTGAGTTTGATGGGACATGTCTAGGAAAGCAGCTGACTTGAAATTAAGGGATTCAAGTAGGAAAGGAAGAATATTTAACTAACACCTCAACTTGTATTCACCGGCCTGACAATTCTGTTAATTATTTGAGTTTTGTGACACAATTGTGTATACAATATAAATGGGAAAGTTGAGTATGTTCTAAAATGAATTGAGGGGTAAGAAATACTCAAACTGGTGTTACAAAATATGTCTGGGGTATAGCGAGAAATATAATTCTTCTTCTAGAGCTGCTATATATCCCTAACAGGTGTATAGTGTTGTGTGCTCTTAAATTAACTCGCTGGTCGCACGATTCATTTACCAGTATGAACTTGGAGACGTTGAGATTAATATAATTGATATTATTTTAGAATAAGGTCAAGCCCATCATATGCGAGTGGGAGATGTTGGAAGAAAATGGGTTTCCCATGTGGGTTTACCCGACCCGATTTGCATGGAGATGAGTTTTGGAGGGAGGAGTTGAAAATTGAATTTAAAAATTAACCTCCCCACCTCCAAAAAAAACTCCTATCAACTTTCATTAATCTTTTTTCCTGAAAAACAAAAACTAAGAAAATTCAGGTTAAAGGGAGTGGAAGAAAAATATATGAGGAAAAAAACTTGATTTTGGAAGATAATATCTCAAATTAGGTTCTTGGATTTTGGCTATCCTTCCATTGTAATTGAATTTCTGAACAAGAGGCGGGTACAAGATGGTGTGGAATGCAAGCGAATCAAAGGCAAGTAATTCAACCTCAATTTTGTGATTTTAAGTAAGTATCACTTCTTGAAACTCGGTTATAAGCATGCAAGCACATTTTACAGTAGCGGTAAAATAATTAGCCACAATTTTATTAGCAATATTTGAAATGCAAAGAAAAACGCAAAAAGGGCGTGGGGGAGAAGCTTTTCTCTTTTAGGTTCAAATCCAGGGATGGGCCAATCACACTTCCACTGCGCTCGTAAAATTCCTAAATCTAAGGTCGGGTTATGATGTTCTAGCGACTATACAAAGTCACGTATTGTTAATAACATTTAAAGCAAATAATATAATGATCTAATGGAAAAGTGAACGAGGGAAGAATTCTCAGACTTTTATATAAGTTGGAAAGAAATGAGATTCGGAGAATAGAATAAAGAATAAACACTCTGGGCCTCTCCAATCCAGTGCCTTTCATCATTTATCTGTCGAATCTTGTCGATTTTGAGCATTTTTGGAAAGACGTATTAGAGGAGAGCTTTTTCATTAAGAGGTTTAGAGTTTTATTTGAATATCGAGTTAGTGTGATTTTTATTTTAAATCTCTAGTTGGTGTCTGAATCTCATAATATTGAAAATATTGGTATAATTTGTATCCATACCTTTCATTTTGATGTGTTTAGTTTCATAACAAAATTAGGAACGTCAAATTTGTGCTTGGCAGGATAAGTTGAATTTCTAAATACCGTGAATATTAGTGTAGTTATAGAAATAATTAACAATGTGTAATTTTAGCCATTTAGGTTTTGGTTAAATTTTATATGCTCTTTAATTTTCACAGGATTCAATTATTTCGATCATGCTTGCTGAATGCAGAGACGGGGTTAAAATTTTGATTTAATGAGGACATAATATAAATCTTTGAATATAAAAGTAATGATTTCAGTCTATGTGGCGTTAGATGTGACGAACTATCATCTAACATCACCTAAATTGAAATTGCAATCTCAATGGGACTAAATATTATTACTCTTAATATAATGTTTCAAATATATACTAATGTTATCTAATTTGATTGGTTACAAATTAAGCATTTTTTTCATTTCTTTTAAACTGGCGATGGAGATTGATTATAGGGAAAATTTTATAAGTGAGAAATTAATTATGCTACATTTCAAAAACAAGAAAACAAGTTTTAAATTTCAAAAATCAGATTTTTATTAAAAAATTATTTATAATTTAATTAATTAATTAATTTAGTAATTAAATATATTTAGGTCACAGATTTATATAATTTGGTCACAAATTAACGATTTAATTTGTTACTTATTATTTTTTGATCACAAATCAGAATTTTTATACCACAAATTATTTTACGGTCATAATTCAAAAATTTTATAGGTCACAGTTTGTTCATCGGTCACAAATCAAAAAATTTCTAAGTCACGATTTATTTATTGGTCACAAATTATAAATATTACAAGTCACAGCTTATTATATAGTCACAAATTATCAAATTATCGGTCACAGATTAACAACTTTTTAGGCTATACATTATTTTTCGGTCACAATTTATCTTTTTCATTGGTCACATATTATTTATTGGTCACAGATTAACCAATTTAATGGTCACAGTCAACCAAATAATTTGTGATCATCACCAACACTTACGATTCACAGTCACAATTTTTAGGTCACGTATCCAATTGTGAGTCACAGACACAATTTTCAGGTCACGTATCCAATTGTGAGTCACAATTGAGAGTCACCGTCATAGTCACAATTTTCATCGCCACCATGGTAACGGCCACACACCAACACCACAGTTGGAAGTCATCGTCACGGTTCACAACCACCACAACTGCCCCAAATTATCGCCGCCATGCACCAACACCACACTCTTCCACAGATGGCCAATAGATCCACAACACCACACACGTCCCCAGATCGCCATCGTCGTCGTCACACAAACACATCCACTAGATCGCCGCCATACAAACACCTCCACCAGATCTCTGCCACACAAATCTATACAATTTGGTCACAGATTAAACATTTAATTATTCAATTATTATTTTTTGGCCGCAAATTAACCATTTAATTATGCAATTATTATTTTTTGGTCACAAATCAAAAATTTTATGTCACAAATTATTTTACGATCACAATTCAAAAAAATTGTAAGTCACAGTTTGTTTATCGATTCAAAAAATTAATTAGTCATAAATTAATTTTTAATCACAACTTATCAAATTATTGGTCACAACTTATTTTTCGGTCACAAATTAAAAATTTTATAGATCACATATTATTTTTCGGTTACGAATAAAAAAATTTATAGGTCATAAATCACAAATATTACATATTACAACTTATTAGACAATTACAAATTATTAATTTTTTAGGTGACACAGTTTTTTTTTATCACAATTTATCTTTTCCTTGGTAACATATTGTTTATTGATCACAGATTAAACAATTCATTGGTCACAATTAACCAAATAATTTGTGACCATCACCAACATTTACAACTAAACGCTACCTCCAACAGCGTCACCACCACCATCACCGTCAAAACCATCACCACATTGATAAAAAAATTAATCAATTTATTGGTTATAACTTTCAATCAACCAATAAAATCATCATAAACACCCACTTCCCATCCCACCACTTCAAAGCACCGAACCACCACCACCATCGACATCACTACCACTACAACACCAATAGCACCCATGCCCCATCCCACCACTCCAAAAGCAGCCCAACAACCATCAACGACGCCGCCCACTGTTAGCACCATCGACATCACCACCACTATCACACTAACAGTAACACCACCACCATTGCGGCAAGCGACGTACGACTGCACTGCAACCGCCAGATCTACCATCATGACCTCCACTAAATAAAGTCGTCACCACACAAAACACCACCTAAAATCGCCACCACATAAACACCACCCAAAGTTGCCACTTTACAAACACCATCACCGCAAACACCACCAACCGTAAAAAATCACCTACAAACACTACAAACCACAAAACACCAACACACCACAAACACCGCCATCTGCGAGACCTAGTGGACTCCCAATGTCACCACAAACACCACCAATGGTACCGAAATCTGTATGCCACTCGTCTCTCCATCTCATACAGCATCGAGATCAGAGTTGTTTCAGATCTCGAAATCTCACAGACAGCTCCATCGTCGCTATGTAAACGGCGTCAAGCTACGGGATTAACACGGCCATCGAAATCTGTATGCTCCGCACAGATCGAAATCTCATGCCACCGCACCTCGCACAACTCTTGGATTAACACACCTCGTCGCTCCACCTCGCAGATTAATGCTGCTCACACGCTATACCTTGCACATATTGAAGTCTTACGTCTCCCTACCTCCCACAACCGCTTCGATGTGTGTTAAAGAGACGCGTGGAGATAAAAGAGAGAGACGAGAGAGGGAGATGAGTCCGTGTCTTTTGTTGGGTAGTGGGTAGGGTTTTTAAAATTCTGTAATTAGTTTATTTAAGTAATTAATAATAAAAAATTCTGATTTTTGAAATATTAATCTTTCCCCTGATTTCAGAATTCTTGATTTTAATGCTAGGGTTTTGTGTAATTTTCACTTGATTATATATTATGGTTCATATATTTTCTCTAGATTATTTTTTTGTAAATCTATTTTTATGAACTCTTATCAAATATTGCATGATTCCTATTTATTCTTAACTGGAACATCTAATTACGAAATCCTTTTGGTTTCTCGTTATTATAGAATATTCCAACAAATATCTCTCTATTGTTCTAACAATCGCACTATGGTGATAGAATCCCTTGACAGAATCCTTTACCCGCTGACATGAAAAGTTCCCTTTTCCTTAATTAAAAAAAAAAGGAAGCCAGAAAATTTATAAAGCGAACACGGATCTAGCCCAATGTCTCAAACCCATAGTGATGGCAATTTGTCCCGTCTCGATGTCACCCCGTCCCATCGCGGGGCGTGGGACAGGGCAAAGATGTCCCGCCCCGTGAAGAAAAAGTAAAAAAAAATATTAAAAATAATTTTATTTCTAAACAATTCATCCGTTAAAAACTTATTTTAAATTTGTATTTTATTCTCTAATAATAACATAATTTGAAACTTTCAAAATGTAAAAAAAATAAAAATTAAACGGGGCAAAATGTTGTCCCGTCCCCGCCCCGCCCCGCCCCGCCCCCATCTAACGCGAGGCCGGGCACAGGGCGGGATGGGGTTTTAGCCAAACGGGGCGGGGCGGCCGTTGCTATCACTACAAACCCATATCTCACTACGCTTCCCATTTTGCAAAACCCTCCCGTCGACACAAAGTCCCAAGACGAAATCAGTTTCCTCCAAATCTACTAGAGCAAAACCCTCCCGCCGGCACCAAGTAGCTCACTCCATTCGATGTCGGAATGAAAAGGACGACATTTGTACCCTTCGTCGCTTGCTGCACCAGATATGTACTCATCTTCGTCACTGAAAGTAAGTTCGAATATGTGGATTTTCGAAGGATTGACTGTGGCGCGTAATTTTTGGGGGTTAAAATTTTGTTTTCTCATTTTGTTGTCAGTAGCAATCGTTGGGTCAAAGGAAGATTTTTTTCCAATTTTTTCTCCTAAATCGGGTGAACTCTGAAATCAGCTTCGGTTTATGAACTCTGAATTGGGTGAACTCTGAAATCAGCAATCGTTGTAGTCAGTAGCAATTAGCTTCTGTTCGTGCACTCTGAAATGTTGAAATTTTGAACTTTCTCGTTATGGTGTGTGAATTTTTTAGATATCTGGAATTAGCTTCTATTTGTGAACTCAATAAGATTGCTTTAATGGATGTGAGCTCTTATTCCTGAATAGCTTTTGATGTGTTTTGGTTTATTTTCAGCTTACGATGGCAGGAAAGAATCAGGGAGTATGTTATGGTTGTAGAGAAAAATGACATTATTTTGCTGACTGTCCGGAGAAACGGCATTGCCCATGGTGCAAACATGCATTCGTCAAGTGTTTTGAGGTAGAGAAAGATAGCAAAAACAAGGGTAGATTATTCAATACCTGTACTGCAAAATGTGGATATTGGGAGTGGGTGAAAGATGGAGAGACTAGTGGTGAAGCAAGTGTAGTCAGCGTAACTTCGACGAATCATGTGACGAGCAAAGGAGTTGAAGAACTATCTTGTATGTTTCAATCTCAATGTCGACTATTTGATCAACGCGATGTGGAGATGTCTCTTAACGTGACAATACACAAAAGAAGAGCAAATGTGGATGGAGAGAAGAAAGGAAAGTGTCGTGAATGAGTTGCAGTTTTGAATTTAATGACCTTATTCACTTTTGCATTTCCAACATTAGTAGTTTCATCACTATTTAGTAGTTAAGTAATGTTGTTTAGTAATTGTGTCGTCGTAGGGGGTTACTCAATGTGAATTGTCTAGATTGTATTGTTGTTTGTAGTTATGCGATGTGGATGGAATGGAGTTGCCATTCAAGGAATGTGTAGTATCAACTTGGACTTTGATCACATTCAAGCATCTCACAATGTTTAAGCATTGTCTCTTCATTATGTAATTTCTATCCATTTCAATAAAGTGATTGCACCAGATTTTAGTTGAATGTTTAAGCATTTTGTGGCTTGAATTGTACTAAAGTAAAAATTCAATGCTTTCATGAGTCTTTCCTTCTACGAATGAAAATGATAACCCAATTGTAGCAGATACAATTAGGAAAAAAAGGAAAGAACGTATTTTCTCCATTATCTATAGAAATTGGCACTAAAATAACAACCTTGTGAACCAGTTTCTTCATGTACCCACAAAATTCAAATTGGTGACCTAAATTTTTCAGGTGTCATGGTTTAAGCTCATTTCAAGTGACCTAATTTTGCTCAAGAAGCATCCAAAAAATACAGTTTCAAAGGGGATCTTCACCTCAATTATTCACAAAAACCTACTAGACCAAGACTCCAAAAACACAGTTAAAGTCACAGAGCTCTTGAGCAATAATGTAATGATGATAAGCAATAATAAAAGTATAATGAGAACAAATTTCTCCTCATAGCATGAGAACACAAGCATTCTTATCAAGAAAAATTAAATATGAAAAGTAGTATGTTTTCCCGATCAGAATATGTACAAAGAGAAGGCACAAAAAAGATCAGCTACTACAGAAGGGTAGGCCCTCAACATACATACAATCATTGATAGCACAAAATAGAATATGTTGCTTTACCTTCACAATTTTCACATTTACAGCACTATTATTATTTCTCATTGCAGAATGGTGCATGACAAGCATGCAGATTTCACTTGATATGGCACTTGTCGAACTCCCAGTTACATTCTTCACTCGAATACCTACAGCAAAACGGAGGTTAGTTGACACGATTAATGATCAAAATATCTAGTAGGTTCAAAACATAATTTGTATATATGTACTAGCTCTGTTTTGTTGTATCGCTATTCTAATGTCATAGGTTAGCACCATCGTTGTCCAGCATGTATGGAACATAGTAGGGCATCGCACAACATACTGCACACCATGAAAATTTATTACACAGCCCAAAAATTGCAAAGTAACCTTAACTATAGAATGCCCAACCTCATTATTACCTTGACCATTCGGGTGCGTCAAAGTAGATGGTTGTAAGTGTTGTGAGAACCCAATGCTATGGATTGCACCCTAAATTGTCAGTCAAATTTATCTACAGCAAGGAACTCTAATAATGTAATGTACTAACCATTACGATTGTGATTGTTAGGTTGTCTGAAACATGGTTGCACCATCTCCAAGATTACTTTGGCATGCCTTGGGTTTTTCCGTTTGGGTGCAATGCAACTCGCTTGCATCACTCCATGTCAAAATTTTATTTGGAAACATATATTTGAACACGAGAAGAAAAAAGTATGGTAAAGGTAATGTAACATACTCTCGCTTTATTTGAACTCAATTCCAATGGAGACTTCTTCCGAAGTTTTTTAGGAGCACCTTTTCTCTTAGCCCTTCTTGGATCCCGAACACTAACGCATCCACTGCCAGCTTTAAAATCGTTCACCCTGCACCTACCCCCGATCCTTCGATGTGACATCATTTAACGCTATACGAGTAGTATGACTGGATAAGACATTACTCCCGCAATTGGACTTCGACGCGACCATCTGCTTGCACTGAAATTCAATCCATTCTAATATTGAACCAGCTTTTACATCATCATCGCAAGTGATGTTTGCCAATGTAGCAAATCCTGTAACCATCTTATCGTACATCAACTGTGCTGGGGTACTATCCAACCCGGTGTAGTTCACTGCAACCTTCGTGTGGAATCTGATTACATCTCTCCCCCGTCTCTGTAAAATGTATTTATCTGACAACAATTTCACTCCATTGTGTATCAATACCGTGATCGCATGCCTGCATAGGATTCCTCGAAACTCGAATAAGTGGCAACTGCAAATAACTTCACATTTGTCACTCAATAATGAGACAAAAAAAATAATTGTGCAGCGATGGTCATGTATGACATCTTTGTGTACTTCACACGTCGTCCCCAAAAAATTCCTCGCTAACGGAGACGAGATCGCAATAAACTTTGCCAACGAACTCCTCTTGAACTTCCCTACATTTTGAAATTGTGTACATTACCTGGAATTGCTTTTCTATTTCATACCTAGTTGCGCAAGGAACCATCTGTGAGAACGATTTGAAATTTGTTTGAAACTCTTTCTCAACCTTATTTCTCAAAGCTCTTTCATACTGTTCGACGAATTGCTTCAACGAGATCTTCGAATGAACATACCCGTCAAAAAATGTATTAATACTGTCACTTCTTTGAGCTGTTGACATCCCCACCCAGAAAGTGTTCCGCAAGAAGCAAGGAACCCAATGAGATCTATTATCATAAAGACATGGTAACCATTCGCTGTCTTGCAAATTATACGTTTCTATCATCGCTAGCCAACATTCTTCAAATTCTTGAATAAATTGAGAATCATAAATCAATCCGTGTATTGCAGAGAATATTGAAGCTTTGTGAATGTGAAATCCAAACTTTTCGAACAATTTTTTCCATATGTGCCACAGACACCACCTATTCTTCGTACTAGGAAACAAAATCTGGATTGCGTTCTGCATTGTCCTATCTTGATTAGTAATTATCCCGTTAGGAGCTCGATCGTTTATGCACTGCAGCTATGTTTGAAAAAATCACACAAATGTATCAGTATCCTCGTTCGACATGAGATTACATTTGAGGAGATTAGACAGTCCGTGATGGTTCACTCCAACAAACAGGGCAAACGACATTTCATACTTGTTCGTTAGGTATGTGGTATTGAATGTGACAACATTGCCAAATTCCATACATGCTTGTCGACTCCTATTATCTGCCCAAAATACATTTTTCAGATGCGACTCCTCATCCAAATCAATACTGAAATAGAACCCTAAGCATCGTGCTTGCATAGTCGAAAAGTATGACTGTATTGCTGCGACATCACCTTCTCCAAGTCTTAGCCGCCTATCTCGTTCAACATAATTTCGATAGTCTTTCTCAATGTAGGTCATATTCTCATATCCACTTGTTTCGACAACTGCATAATTGAAACTTTTGGGTAGCGATATTTCTGCAATGTCATTTACTTCAAGACGATGTTTCACCTGAGCACTTAATTCTCTGTTGCATCGATACAATCTGAATTTCAAAGGACTTGTTTTATCATTGTCATCCATGTAAACTGTATTAATTCACCATACTTCACGAATATCTAAATATGCTGTAAGCCTGGCTTTACATCCACTTTGCATGGTAGCTTGTGGATTCAGAGAAACACTTGCATTATTGATTTTTTTCCCTTCGCGGCTGCAAACATATGTAACACATCGCAAGACTCCATTATCGTCCCTTTTCGAATTTCTTTTTCTCACTGGAAAACCCATGTCTTATGCATATCGTTTGTAGAAATCAAATATTTCATTTTCGTCCTTAAACTTCTTGCCCACCTCAGGCATAGTCACAATTACACCATCCCCTCCTGTCCCGTTATCACCTAGAAATTTTGTATTGTCAGGATCATTCTCTTCATCGGACTCCACCAACATAACGGCTTTGACGTCGTCCAAAATTTCTTTCCATGTGACAAAAAGCCAAGTTATGCAACATATTCAGTTACGGTTGTTCATAACATAAAAAAATGGATATTATGGATGGTGTTGGTGGCAGCCCTATGGTGATGGTAATATCGATGGAATGGTTCTTGGCGGTGTGCCTGAGAATTAGGTTTTGGCTACCGTTTTTGCATTGGTGTTGGTGGAGTGGAGTGGAGTGGAGTTGGAAGTAGTGCCATGGTTGTAGTGACTTGGTTTTGATGGGGCATTATGGTGATGGGATGTCGATAGAGTGGTTCTAGACGGTGTACCTTCTTAGGTTTGGCTATTATTTTTGCGTTGGTGGAGGTGGCAATAGTGTCGTGGTTGGTTGGTGTTGCTGTTGGTGGCGATAGCCACGGAGTGGTTTTCTTGAATATGTTGGTGGCGCTGGTTTTTGTTTGTGGACCCATGATAATGGTGGTTTTGTAGTTGAAAATGATGGTCGTAGTAGTGAGATGATGGTGGTTTTGAAGTTAAAAATGGTAGTTTCGTGGTAGTGGTGGTGGCAAGGTTGCATTACTTTCGATTGGTGCCATGGTGGATTGGTGTTTGTGACCAATAACTTGTGAACATTAAATAATATGTGACCTAAAAACTCGTATTGTGACTTATAAAATATGTGATTTATGATTGATAAATAAATTGTGACCTATAAATTTTATAATTTGTGACCTATAAATTTTTTTATTTGTGTCTGAAAAATAACTTGTGATCAATTAATTCGATAAATTGTAAACAAATTGTATAGAATTGTGATTTTAATATGTTTAATTAATTATTTCATAAATAAAATTTAATTAATATCTAATTTTGAAATTTTAAATTTTGTTTCTTAATTTTGAGATGGATGATATCATGATGCTAGATATGAAAGTTTTCTTTTTCCTTTTATAGACAGTTTTTTGTAAAGCCCAAATAAAAGGCTTGAATATCGAAATATTTCCCAACCCATACTTGTTCTTATTCATGGAGCAAAGGACGAGCGGTTAAGGTTTTCTTCCTCGGTATTACACTAAAAATTGGGAAAATTCGTTGTGAAGGAGGGGCAAAAGGCTAGACATATTCATCACTCCTTGGCACCGTTGCAGTGATTTCTACTCAACTTCTTCACCAAACTTTGGAGGTAGTATCGGATTATATAGTGTAAAAAGGGGCATTATATGCTGAAATCGCACTCGATCTGATTGTTGTGAATGATTTAATTTCAACTGACTCCTTATAAGTTAATTATTTTTCCAAAATTGTTGTTTCTTGATGGTATCTTCTTCTAGCAACAGTGGTTTTTTCGACAATATTTCTCTTGAATTTCCGATGCGGTTGTTTATGGTTTTTTTCTTTGCCTTAAAAACTGGCTGCCCCTCAGGTTTAATAGGTGAAATACTCAGGATCAGTAGAGGCAGTTGCCCCCACTGAACCCCAGGTGGTTCCGCCCCTGGCTGGATGATGAATTTCTTAGTCTAGTTAGATTTTCTCGATCATGAAGATTAGTCATTTATGTATTGAAATTGGGTGGATGAGGTATTGAGACAGAAGCTTTAATTGGATTTTGTGGTTTGATTTTGAAGCGTACTGTTTGTGCTTTCAAAGTTTCAGTGAACTTGATGATCGGGCTTTCACTTTTCATCATCATTCTTGACATTCTTCAGCTTCTTTTCATTCTTTTCATTAAAAGTTTGGCATCCTCTGAATTTGTTTGTACTTTGACAAAGATGAAATATTTCCACTGTTTATTGCTCCATGTGTGCAGTATATTCTGTTTTTGACACTTCATAATTAAAAAAAGAAGTTTTATGTGGTTAATCATTAATGAGATTGCTTTTAGCTTTTCTTTTTCCTCTTGAAATTGCTTTTAAGTTTCTTGCTGGTGATATATATTCTCTTATTGTCTCAAACAGAGGCCAATTATTCAAGAATTCATCTTCGACCCTATTATTTGATTATAAATATAAATATAAATATGTTTTATATTACATTCTGTTTTCCTTTTTATTGTTGGGTTTTGATTTTTGAGTTTGTAAATTTAGTTTTTGTAAACACTTATGGAGAATATTTTTTTTGAATGTATACTACAATTTTGAGAGCCCAACCTTTAGAGTTGATTCATGTGTGAAAATCCCAGGTCTGGTCCTGATTGTGGAACAATTCGATTCAAGAAATACTGAAATCAGAATTAAAGAATGAGGCGAAGACCTGGAATTGGAGGTCTACAGAATGCCGCCGCGGCTAGAGTTTGTTCACCATCTTGTTCTTCATTAACTAATAATCATTACAATTTTCTCTCATAGTGTGTGTTTGAGCCACATTATTTCTGAAGAATGTATTTTAGAATAGTAGATTGATGGAGAATGTGTGGTTAAAAAATGAGAAAATGTTTTGGATTTACATGTAATATTATTTTATTGAATAATGTGTGGTTGAAATGATGTCAAATCACTATTTAAGAATATATCTTTTTTTGTTTTCCAAAGAATGCAGTTCAAATAGGGCCATATACTGTGTTTGTGTGATTCTACATTAGTATTTATGTGTATATATGTATTTATCTTGAGTGGGTGTCATTGAAATTTGATTTTATGATAAAAGGATCAATATCGTTTGCTGGGAGAAAATGTGGCGAAGTTGCGAACTGATGTCATGACAGAACAGCTTTCGACTTTTCGCTCTCAGCTGGAAGATTTTGCTCGCAAACACAAGGTCCCTTTTTTAGTTAGATTCAAGTTCTCATTTAGTTTTGTTAAGTATCCACTTAATTATTTAATTCCCCACTTTTACATTGGTCATGGATTAATAATTTCCTGCTAATTCATATTGATACGAAAACATTTACTTAATTAAGGACAAAAGGACTTAAGGGTTGCTTAACTGCTGGAGTATTCGAATTATGCTCATTGATGGGTAGAAGATTGTGAAAAAGAAGATAGAAAATAATTTACTTGTCATGGTTTATGCAGAATGATATACGCAAGAATCCTGCATTCAGGGCACAGTTCCATGAGATGTGTGCAAAAGTAGGTGTGGACCCGCTGGCCTCGAATAAAGGTTTTTGGGCTGAGCTACTGGGGATTGGTGACTTCTATTATGAACTTGGTTTGTATCAATCTACTTCTTGTCTTTGGTTTCTTGCAGTAATTGTCTTTTTTGTCTTTATTGTCATCACTGTAAAGTCTAGTATGCCGCAATTGTTCTGGAAGGTGTTCAGTCATTGGTTCTTTATGATTTATGGTTAAGCCTTTTGCAGCCTTTAGTTTCAGTCTTTTGGCATTATTTGGCAGTGCTTTATTTCAATATTTGATTTCACAGCCTGTATACTTCTTTGCATTGAAAGTCTGGATTTTTTATTTTCAAGTTTAATTTAAGGTGAATTTGTCTATCTAGACAGGAGTGCAAATTGTTGACATTTGCTTGGCTACTAGACCTCACAATGGTGGCCTAATTAGCTTAGAAGATCTCTGTAGACTTCTTGGTCAAAGGAGGAAGGGTGCTCGTGAAGCTATTTCTGAGGATGATTGCTTGCGTGCGATAAGTAAGCTAAAGGTATCGTGGTTACGATTTTCTCTATTTTTCTCTTGCTACTGTGGGCCTTAAAAAGTTATACTAGGCACATGCATTCGCTATTGCACGCCTCCAGTCCATTTATGGAACCTTGTTTACTGAGTGCGTTCTATTTTACAAGGATCCACAATTGTTCTGAATTTTAAGAAGTGATAATGGTGTAGTTGACATAATAAGTATGCTTCCATTTCATGTTGTACAATTATATGAGCACTGTGCCACAAACAAGAAATCTATTGATTGACTGCAGCAGGCTAGTTATATGTTGTCGTTGGCTCAAATTTCTTATTTGTAATCGTCAAGCTGTAAAGTACAATTTTGAGGAATAATAAGCTATCTCTCACTCGAGTTCTTGTCTATCTCTCTCATGTTTGTGGTTTCCCTGATTTTATACTTAGCTTCCAAGCTGCCTTGTTGGAGCTTAAGGTCTTCTAAAAGCTAGTAATTTATTTATGCTTAACATTGGGCATCACTTTCCACTAACTAAGCTTCTGCATCACTTAGTTGACTGATTTACGTAGTATGTTTTGAGACAGCCAAGTGTTGCATGAGTACTTGTAAGAGTTCCGTATGAGACAATCAATCCAGGTGTTCGGTTGGATAAGGGGATGTTAAGGACTGCACCTGAATTGGAAAGAACCAATCCATTGATCATCTGATGTTCACATTGATTTGGAATTACTCTGAACCACTTCTTATGCTTCACTGTTAGCCGAGAGTAAAGTAGGACTTCTCTTTCAACTGTTGCCCTAAGTTGCGAACTGATGTCTTGACAGAACAGCTTTCGACTTTTCGCTCTCAGCTGGAAGATTTTGCTCGCAAACACAAGGTCCCTTTTTTAGTTAGATTCAAGTTCTCATTTAGTTTTGTTAAGTATCCACTTAATTATTTAATTCCCCACTTTTACATTGGTCATGGATTAATAATTTCCTGCTAATTCATATTGATACGAAAACATTTACTTAATTAAGGACAAAAGGACTTAAGGGTTGCTTAACTGCTGGAGTATTCGAATTATGCTCATTGATGGGTAGAAGATTGTGAAAAAGAAGATAGAAAATAATTTACTTGTCATGGTATATGCAGAATGATATACGCAAGAATCCTGCATTCAGGGCACAGTTCCATGAGATGTGTGCAAAAGTAGGTGTGGACCCGCTGGCCTCGAATAAAGGTTTTTGGGCTGAGCTACTGGGGATTGGTGACTTCTATTATGAACTTGGTTTGTATCAATCTACTTCTTGTCTTTGGTTTCTTGCAGTAATTGTCTTTTTTGTCTTTATTGTCATCACTGTAAAGTCTAGTATGCCGCAATTGTTCTGGAAGGTGTTCAGTCATTGGTTCTTTATGATTTATGGTTAAGCCTTTTGCAGCCTTTAGTTTCAGTCTTTTGGCATTATTTGGCAGTGCTTTATTTCAATATTTGATTTCACAGCCTGTATACTTCTTTGCATTGAAAGTCTGGATTTTTTATTTTCAAGTTTAATTTAAGGTGAATTTGTCTATCTAGACAGGAGTGCAAATTGTTGACATTTGCTTGGCTACTAGACCTCACAATGGTGGCCTAATTAGCTTAGAAGATCTCTGTAGACTTCTTGGTCAAAGGAGGAAGGGTGCTCGTGAAGCTATTTCTGAGGATGATTGCTTGCGTGCGATAAGTAAGCTAAAGGTATCGTGGTTACGATTTTCTCTATTTTTCTCTTGCTACTGTGGGCCTTAAAAAGTTATACTAGGCACATGCATTCGCTATTGCACGCCTCCAGTCCATTTATGGAACCTTGTTTACTGAGTGCGTTCTATTTTACAAGGATCCACAATTGTTCTGAATTTTAAGAAGTGATAATGGTGTAGTTGACATAATAAGTATGCTTCCATTTCATGTTGTACAATTATATGAGCACTGTGCCACAAACAAGAAATCTATTGATTGACTGCAGCAGGCTAGGTAGATGTTGTCGTTGGCACAAATTTCTTATTTGTAATCGTCAAGCTGTAAAGTACAATTTTGAGGAATAATAAGCTATCTCTCACTCAAGTTCTTGTCCATCTCTCTCATGTTTGTGGTTTCCCTGATTTTATACTTAGCTTCCAAGCTGCCTTGTTGGAGCTTAAGGTCTTCTAAAAGCTAGTAATTTATTTATGCTTAACATTGGGCATCACTTTCCACTAACTAAGCTTCTGCATCACTTAGTTGACTGATTTACGTAGTATGTTTTGAGACAGCCAAGTGTTGCACGAGTACTTGTAAGAGTTCCGTATGAGACAATTAATCCAGGTGTTCGGTTGGATAAGGGGATGTTTAGGACTGCACCTGAATTGGAAAGAACCAATCCATTGATCATCTGATGTTCACATTGATTTGGAATTATTCTGAACCACTTCTTATGCTTCACTGTTAGCCGAGAGTAAAGTAGGACTTCTCTTTCAACTGTTGCCCTACTATATCATCAATTTGTTGTTTCATCGCAGATTTCTCACTACTATGCCTCTCTTTTTGCCCCGATGACTGATTAAGACATTGCACATATTTTTCTCTGCTCCGTGCATGATATATAGATTTCTTTTCACTACTAGCTGTGTAATTCACCTATTGCCAATTGTCCTTTCATTAACTTGCTTTCTCTTCCTTTTCTCTCTAAAAAACTTGATGTGATATTTTACTGTGGTATACGTTATAGTAACAAAGAAACTTTTCAGGTACTAGGTAATGGATTTGAGGTGATTTCTGTTGGAAAGAAGAAGCTTGTTCGGTCTGTTCCTACGGAATTGAACAAGGACCATAATGAAATTTTGGAGCTGGCTCAGGTTTCCCCTTGTCTATATATTTTTTGTCAAACCTGCATTTCTGATATTTCTTTTGCATGTCAATAAAGCATGCAACTGCACGTCTATTTGCAGAGAGCCGTTGTCATATTTGTATTTTTAATATTGCTTTTTGCTATTGTTGTTCTCTTAGGGCCAAGGCTTTGTGACGGTTGATGAGGTACAGAAACGATTCTCTTGGTCTTCTGGTCGTGCAACTGATGCTCTTGAAACTTTATTAGAAGTATGTCACTGGTGTTGATTTTTCTATTCTATTCGGTACTTTTGTTCTGTGTCTGTGAGCTATTTATTTGCTCTAGCTAATGAGACTCTTTTGGGTAATACAGGAAGGACTTGCAATGATTGATGATGGCCATAGAGACGGCAGACGTCGATATTGGTTTCCGTGTGTATCTAATGTCTCCTCTTATGCAGGTGACACGCTCTGAGGATTCCTGTCTGAATTTTTTTTACCCTTTTTTTGCAAGAAAATGTATGTGAGGATGTCCCGACATTCTGGAAAATGGATTTGGATTATGTGAAGTGTCGGTGTGAAAATTCCTCTTTTTCCTTGTTTCTTCTGTAGAATGGTGCGTGTTCGTCTACTTGTATGAAATGTAGTTTTCTACTTGATTCAGTGCATTCGGCGTAGCCTCTATATAGTCTTACAAGTTCGCCTCGAACTGTCATGGCAAACAATCACATGGGCATGGTCACTGTGGCCCCTTCATGAAATAGGCATTCATTACAAGCAATTATGGGATTAAGAGTTGCATGCATTTGCGGAACCTGGCAATACATTGCTAACTAGTAACAACAGATGTACATGACTGGATGCATTTGTGACGGATTTGGCTAGAGAAATAAACACTGCGACGCACCCACTTGCGAACCACGCAAAATGTGACCATGTGCAACGTAAATTTGGATCAGTGTATGGGAAGCAATGGCAATGAAGTGCTAACAGTATCTTGTTCTTCGTCTTGGTCTTGTTTGGAAGAACTTCTATAATAAATTTTTGTAGGATTTTTGTGGTTAAAGGAGTGGACAAATTTCAGAGAATATTTTTAATAAACTTTAATGGTGAACGTTTGGTTTTATGCACTAAAATGGAAAGACATGTTTAATACATATATTTATTTTTATTCAATGAAAGCTTTGAGCAGTCGTCTCATTTAATTTCGGCATTATAAAAACTGGCACCTCATTCGCTCATGAACTAAAAAGTCGAAATCTTCCATTTTTTCCCACCAAATTTGAGCTTGAACATTTCCGAATATTCTTTCACCTTTTTTTGGGAGATTACACCAAAATGTAGCTACCAAATCATTTTCCGCAATTTAGGTCAACACATCTGTTGACCTCGATTTTTATATGGGTGATGTGGTCACACAAATCCCAATTCCGCTCGCGTATCTCTTGCATATTTGAATAAATCGGCAAGAGCACGTTGCCTTCTCAAGTGGTGGAGGAGGTGATCGCTAGCACTTTGACGATCAAGTCAGTCAATTTGTATGTGTACTTGGGTATGGGACATACAGAAGATGTGAGGCATAATGGCGTTCGAGAACTATGGGTTTATAGAGAGTAAAATGAGCAATATTATTTTGAGTATGTAAAATTACATTACCTTTAATCAACACTAGCCGTAAGCTTTTATAATAGAAGATAGAGAATGGTTACTATTATATGAAAAAACAAGTGGCCTTATTCTGATGGCCGAGGCTTCTCCTCCTAGGTATCACTCCATCAATCCTAAGTTCAAGGACATTTAATGTTTTTGAAAAGTAGTCACCTTATAGTCTATGTAAGACCTTTGAAAAGTGGATTGACAAGTTAACTGTAAGATAGTTGCTTCAAAAATATCACTTCAATCAGTCAAAAAAGATTTTGTACAAACAATCTCTTGCAATATGTGAAATGGGATATGCCTTCTCTCATAAAAGGCTAATTGTCTCAAATTTACTTCTACAATAGGTTAATAACGTCTAACCTACGTCATCAGGGGTTGACCTCTATATGGTACCTCAATTGAAGTGATGCATCACTTTAGCTAATTAGTCATGTCATAGGTTAGGCAAGGTAGAATGATGCGGCATGTGAGCCTCATTGGACTGACTAGTTGATTGTCGCGTGATCGTTGTGTGAAACTTCATTAGGAAAGGCGTACCAATATCCATCAACCTGACTCTTAGAATCTATTCTTGAAATATAAAAATAAATAAATAAATAAAAAAGAAGAATAGTGTATACTAGGAACTTATTTTCTATCAAGAACGCACAGCTAATGGTGTAAATACGCTGGGCCGACTTCTCCTAGAGGGACCATGAGACTAGCCTGTCTCGTTGGTAAAATAGTAATCGATCAATATTCATTTCGTGTATTGTGCGACATTAATTTCGTATCAAAGAACACTCATATTCCTTATCATGACATGGCAGCGGTTGATGAGTCAACAGAGGAAGAATCTGATAGCAACAATGCCCCTTTTGTCATGTTTGGATGAAGAATGAGCCCAAGCATGGATTTGTAGGCAAATAAACAAACAACATCCTGCAAATATCCCCAGAAATCTTAGAAGCTAATCATAGCAAATAAGGGCTATAGGAAGCAGCACCCTGAAAGTTATGGCTTGAAGTAAAAGGAAATACGTGACATTACTTTCACTACTAAAAAAAAGCTTTTCACCTACGGAAAATCACCAACGGATTCATCCGTTGGTGATTAGAAACGGATTATCCGTTGGTAAAAGTAATTCACTTTTAACTACGATAATTAGTAACGAATTTTCCGTTGATAAAGATGATATCTCTTTATCAACCGATATTCCGTGCCTAATGTAATCGTTTAACATTTGGATCTTTCTCCAACGGATATTCCGTAGGTGATGCACCGAATATTACCAACGGATGCAATCCGTTGGTAATTAGAAACGGAATATCCGTTGGTAAAAGTAATTCACTTTTAACTACAATAATCTGCAATGAATTTTTCGTTGGTAAAGATGATATCTCTTTACCAACAGATATTTCATGTCTAATATAACCGTTTAACATTTTGATCTTTTATCTACGGATATTCTGTTGGTAATTAGAAAAGGATTATCCGTTAGTAAAAATGATATCTCTTTACCAACGGATATTCCGTGCCTAATATAACCGTTTAACATTTCGATCTTTCAGCAACGGATATTCTGTTGGTAATGAGAAACGTATTATCCGTTGATAAAAATAATTCACTTATCCCACATCGAAAGTTTACAACAATATCTTTGTAGTCGCCCTCTATAAATTTGTGATCCAATAAGAAGTTAAACAATATTTTGGCCTTTCAATTCAGTTGGCTAAAAATAAAAAAATATATTATAATTATTAAATAATAATAATAATAAATAAATAAATAAATAACTTTTTTACCATAGGTTATTTACAACATTGATTTTTACCAATTATAATGGTAGACATTTACCAACGAAAAGTCGGTTGGTATTGGTTAAGACTTTTACTAACGGAAATTCCGTTGGTAAAAGATTCACACTTTATCAACGGAAAATTCGTTGGTAAAATTTTACTCTTTATCTACGGCATGATCCGTTAGTAACTATCAGCGACCCTCAAATTACCAACGGATTTGTGGTTGCAAATATTTTGTTGGTGAACATTATTAGCAACGGATATTGAGGCTTTAGGAATGAAAAATTCGTGCCTAAAACTCTGTTTTTTAGTAGTGTTTCAATGGCTCGTTCTTTGAATGAAAAAGAATAATCCAGTTGAACACTCCAATTATGATATTTGTTTATCTAGAAGAGAGGATCTACTGGATTTCTAGGTTATTTCATACTACTGTATTATTTTCTTGTTGAATGAGATATACTGGATTTTGGTGTATATGATAGCAACATCTCTATCTCACATGAACCAACAAGCAAAAACTCTTCTTTTCGACCTAACTTTGAAGCATATATTGGCACGAAATGAAAGAATTATTCACCTGACAAAGGGAGAAGAGATTGGAAATTAGTTTTAGCATACTGAAACGCAACCTTGAAGCCCTATATTAAGCTTGTTCGTGGCCGTTTGAGCAAAAGTCCATACTTTCAAGAAATTCACAATGTTTTGTACGAAACACGAAATTGTTTCAAGAAAGCTAAGGACATATAACTTTCTGTGGTGAAGATAACATTTGAACTTATTGATTTGAAAGACTTATCATCGTTTTGGGCTCGGCACTTTCTAATAATCTTTCCCCATCTTTCATGGCTACATCAAAAGGAAACTCCCCAAATTTCAATTTATAGAATGCCATTCATTTTATGCAACTTAGTCAAGCATCTCTATCCAACCATCTCTAATCTTATTCACTGGAAACAAAATTTTCAATATTTTTCATGAATCTTGGTTTCAGATACTAAAATTAGTGTTACAATTATCTTTCATTTATTATTCATCTTGAAAATGTTTTCGTGTAAGAATTTCAAGAGAGCTAGAAAAAATGTACGAAGACAAATAGATTTAGCTAGAAAAGATTGAAGTTCACAAATTCGTGTTACATTTATTTAATCTTTATTTCATGTACATTAATGAATTCAGGAACTAGGAATTTCGCTGGACTCAGAATTTGGTTCAGTCCATGATCTTGGTCGAATTCCAAGCATAACGAACAACATAATCTCTAGTCCCAAGAAGAACTTGGACTTGTCCAAAACCCTATTCCATATTCCACTCACAATGCAATAATTGCTGCTAAATGGGGGACGATGATGTTCTGCGTGTTGCAACCGCGGTACGATTATCCCAGCATCTTGCAGCGCCACCACCAACCGTGGAAGCTTGGCTTTTCCACCATGAGCCCATGCATGAAACTGCTGGCAAAATATAACGCAACCTCCAAAAACACCAAGAAATCCTAGAAGAACAGGATCGTTAGAAAGAAGGGTTACTGGAAGCACCATGAAAGTTACTCCTTGAGCTAGAACATGAAGATTGTAAGCCACTGGACGAGTTGTGATAGTCCATGGGATTTGATGGTGGACTTGAAATGATTCTATTTGGGATCCAAATATAGGAGTTTTGGCGCAGCCATAGTTATCGATGGCCCAGTGATATATTCCGGTAGCAAGATCCGCCATCACGTACCCAACCAAGCCGGATGTTATTAACTCGAACCGTGTACTTGAACTGGATGCACCAGTAATAGATTTGGCTAGGGAAATAAGCACAGAGAAGCACCCACTGGCTAACCATGCATGATGATACCATGTGGAAACAATTTTTCTTGGGTCATTGTACGGGGAAGCCATGGCAATGGTGAATGTAATAAAAACTTTCTGGTCCGTCTTCGTCTTCGTCCTTGTGAAGAACTTTTTATAATGAAGGAAGCCGTGTACAGATGGCCAAAAAATATAGCGAATATTTTTGGGAAATATTAAATTGTGAATGTATGGTTTTGTGCACTCAAAGGAAGACTGCGACATTACTTGCAATGACTAATTGTTCATTAGAAATTAAAAATAAAATAAAGCAGACAATTTCATTGACTTTTATGAGTTATTAAATGCATATGTATTATTTATTTATTGAGATATGTAAGGTTGCAACGTACAAACTGAATAAACTAAAGTCACTTTTTTTTTTTTTTTTTAAGACAAAATAGCTCCATTTATTGCGTAAAGTCTTTAGTGTGTGTGTGTATATATATATATTTTCTCTAATGACGAGAGAATCAGTAGTTGTCACCTTTTGGATGCGCACTAGATAAACCCTCAGACTGACACAATAGACTTCAAACCACGTCAATCAGTAAACCGCACTAGGCAAGCTCTGTGCAATAAGCTCGATCGAGAAAGTGTTGGTTATATGGAACTTGCACATTGGCTAAAAGCTAGGTAGATGATCGGTTTAATAAGTCAACTTTTTATAATGAAATTCAGTCATTACTATGGTAATGAAGTTAGGTCCAAATTTAAACCGAAATTGAAAAAGAGAGAATGACAGATGTTAAATCTTTTCATTCTTTTGTAGAATTATTAATCTATTAATTTATTGCCTTAACTGCTCTAATAAGGCTGCTCTTGCCTTACGTGTTGGCACGGTTTTTTTGTTCTATTAAAGTTAACTGCTTGTTAAGGTATTGAATTTATTGCAAATTAATTGATACTTAAGAGTATATTAATGTTATCGAGTAAGAGTAGAACAAAAGGTTTCTTTTATAAAAATAATAAGCCGGCATTTGGTTTAACAAACTTTCTTATATTTTGATAAAATTTGGTGAAATGTATAATTGAAAAATTATGAATTTCATGAAATGTGTGGTTAAAATTGATTATTGATTTTAATTTAAATTTTAATAAAAAAATTTAGTTGAATCAAACAGGGCCTAATTATTGGCGTCGTACAATTTTGGGCTATAAGAATGAGAAATCTGCATGAAATCTTTGAATTAATTCTGGAGAATATTATAAAATCATGTATTGACAGATGGGTGAGCTAACTAGAAAAATGAAGTGGAATATTAGACCTTTAACTTTTGCTTTTTTTTTTTTTTTTTAATACGTGATATAAAATTATTCTTTTTAATATATATGTTGTCTTATTTATTGAATTTTAAATAGAAATTCTTGCACACACAATTTTTACATAAAGTACATTTATTTTGTCCAATAAAGTATCGTCCAAAAATTTTCTCGAGGAGCCCAATTTGAATCAAATAGTACTTGGCTTCTTGATAAACATGTTGCAGTTTAGTAGTAATTGGAATATGCTACATACATGGTAATGATTGTTAGATGAAATAAATAAATTTATTTGGACTTTTAACAGTTCGAACATCTTGATAAAATTATTTTTAATGGATAATATATTATTTTTGCATTTAAACTTAAGCCTTCTGGATGGAAATAATTTACAGCCTGTTTGGGAGGGATTTTTTACCTTAAAAAATTGATTTTTTAACTGTTATTTAACTATTTCAACCTTAATTTTTGACTTCTTCTCTCGTGGACTCTACTTTTTTTCTAAGAGTCAAAAAATCAATTCTCAAAATCCCTTTCAAATGGGGCCTTATAATGGTTTAATTTATTAATAGATAAAAATAATGATGAAAAATGAATTCAAAAACAAAAAATGATTGCCTAATCCTCAATTCTCGTTGTGGTATAGGACTGCTATGGTGAGTTGAGATTTGCTCGTTCAATTTATTTTCCGCAGTCAAATATATGTACACTAGCCTTCTTGCTTGCAAAAATACTCAAAAATTACAAATAATCTTTAATAAATAACAAGAAGTTCCACCTCACAAACCATAAAAGGGAAACTATCTGCACCAAAGGTCAAACCTTCCTGTAAAAATCTCTCTCTATCTCCTCTCTGGAAAGTTTCATCAGCTGCCATGACCCATCATCTAATCCTGTTATTAATCACAGTCCATGCCATTTCATATCCAAAAGTACAAGCCGTTAAAGAACCCTTTCACCCCAGAGACATTCTGCCGCTTCTACCGAGACAGGTGTCTTGGCCTATTCTGAATACTCTCAACAGTGCAGTGGACCTCCTGCCCACTTTTGTGGGCACTGCCACTACTGTCAAGAATTCTTTACAGTGGAAAGGTGCTTGCTTTTACAACAATAGCGCTTGGTTGGAGTTTCATAACAAAAGTAAAACTGAATTTGGTGGTGGCACTCTTCATATCAAGGTTTGATTACTTCTTTTCTTGATTTTATTGTAATCTAAATTGATTGTTTAAGTTCAATCGTTGAAGTATAGGCAATTTGGATGTTAGTTAGCTTCGCTTGTGAGGTTGAATGGTTTTTCCTGGGAAACTCTTTATAATGAGATAAGATCTGCAATTTGTTATGTTTTCGGTGAGTGGTTGCTTGTTTGAATTTGCGATTGTTATGTGCGGGGATTGTGAGTAACTGTGATTGTGAAGTTTGGTCCTCTTCAAAAGTCCAATTGAATACACCCCTAAATTAGGCCTCCTTTTTTCTTTAAAGAAAAAGGGGGGAAATAAACTTATTTATTTATTTATTATTTTTTATCAAAAGCCTGGAAGTGGGCCATATTACAAGGCGTAGTACTTAGATTCTAGTTGATTATGATAAAGGCGGCTTTGGCTAGAATTCACAGCAAGGATAGGAACCATAAGTGTATTCTGTTGGAATGCATTGCTTTTATCCGCCTTTTCTCAACCTGTCTAATCTGGTTTGCTTATGCAATATGTCTTTAAGAGTGCTGCTGCTGTCTGAGTAATGTTTGATGGTTTTATTTTTGTTTCAAATTTTACTTTTACTTAGTGAATTTATTTTATTACATTGATTTCAGGAGTGTGTTTTTCTTCTGCTTGCTTTCGTTTGATGCTCCAGTTTTTGAAGCTCCATTTTTATATCTTCCAGATCTTGGAAAATTTGTTGTCAAACATCTTTTTAAGATGGATTAAATTGATATTACGTTAATATGAGCTGTTAAGATACTGGTGTTGTTGATCTTGTTCTCGTGCTACAAATCCCCATATGCTACAGGAAAAAAATGATAGAATTTTGCAACATTGTTCTTTCTGCCCCCTCTCTAGTCACAGAAAAGCTAGAATGCCACATATTGTTCTTATCTTTTCTCGATTTCTATAGATGGGGAAAAGAGGCATGAAAGAAGTGGAGTGATGACATTTAGTTAATAATTGTACATCTTTATTTCATTCTTTGGTGTATGCAGGTTAGAAATGCTCATAGTTGGACATGCATGGATCTTTATCTGTTTGCAACTCCTTATCGTGTGACATGGGATTATTATTTTTTGTCTCGTGAACACACCCTCGAATTCAGAGAGTGGCAATCAAAAGCTGAATATGAATATGTGAGTTATACAATCTTAATCAGAGATATAAGTATACATTTCGAAGCATGACAACTTAATCACGATTAACATATTTGACAACAGGTGAAACATAAGGGGATTTCAATATTCCTCATGCAAGCAGGGATGCTAGGAACTCTTGAAGCATTGTGGGAAGTATTACCTTTATTCACAGACACTAATTGGGGCGAGAACTCAAATGTTGCATTTCTTCGAAAGCACATGGAAGCCACCTTTGAAGAACGTCCTCAGCCATGGGTTACAAACGTTAGTGCTGACGATATACACTCTGGAGATTTCCTAGTTCTGTCTAAAATTCGGGGCCGTTGGGGTGGTTTTGAGACTCTTGAGAAGTGGGTGACTGGATCTTATGCTGGTCATACTGCTGTTTGCTTAAGGGACTCTGAAGGAAAGCTATGGGTTGGAGAATCAGGACATGAGAACGAGGAGGTAATACGTTAAAAGTCTACCAAATATTTGGCAAGCATTAATTGCTGTTGGAGCATGTTTGGGTAAGCCTAAAAGGGGGTAAAAGTTCATTTATGGAAATTGAGTAAAAATCTTACTTTTTTAGGCTTAGCCAAACATGCTATTGAATTTGCTCAGCTTATGCATGACTCGCTTATGTTGCAACCTATGGCACTTAACATATTCAATGAATTCTTAGAAATCACGATACTTATTTTATCCGGAACATTGCCTTTTCAGAATCCTTTGAATGTGGAATATAATATGTTATATCTTGTTAAGTAGGCCTTCTCAAATAATGTTTCAATTTGGACAATATATTATTAAGTGTGATTCAAGAGACAAATATATCCTATGTACATAAGAGGATGGCTAGCAAGGAGCCGTGCCAGAATTAAAGCTCATTATTTTTTCTAGCAGAGAAGGGGAAACAAAATGAAAGAAGAGAACGTCATTGTGTGCCAACTCAAAGAGGTTCACTTTCTTTTCTGGTCGTATTGGAGATGCCTCTAAGAGGAAGACTAAGTTTTAACAAATAACTACATGTGCCTCCTCGCTGAAAGCATAAGTTTTTAGATTGGGTGGTTAACTCTATAGCTAATAATTAGTAGTTAAAACTTGAACCCAGTACTGATTGAATAACTTTTATGTATTTTTGGATCTTGAACTTGTCAGGACTTAAAAGGCTATTGGTTTGTACAGTAGTGGCTTATGATTCCTTATATTTAAGTTACTCTCGTGGGGGATAACATCTAATTCTTTTCTCATGTATATCTAACCGTCTTGATTTCTTATTCGTAATATAGGGAGAGGATATTATTGCTATTATGACGTGGGAGGAATGGTGGGAATATGAGCTGACAAAAGATGATGCTAATCCACATATTGCATTGCTTCCTTTGCATCCTGACCTCCGGACCAAGTTCAACGAAACTGCTGCCTGGGAGTATGCTCGAAGCATGGCAGGACTACCTTATGGTTATCATAACTTGATATTTAGCTGGATAGACACGATTAATGGAAATTATCCATCTCCCTTGGATGCTCACCTGGTATTGCATTTACTTGTCCTAAATAGTTTGTGTTACTGTTGAGACCAGCTCTCTCTGCAGCTCCCGCTCTTGTTCAGAATGCTGCATTTTCATGAATTTTTTCCCGTTTCTTATGACTTATGGCCATTTTACAGGTTGCTTCTGTTATGACTGTTTGGACTCAATTCCAGCCTGCATATGCTGGTAACATGTGGAATGAAGCATTGAATAAGCGCCTTGGAACTCAGGTTACACTAATTTCCATCTCATTTATCAAACACATAATTTTGTGAAGCACATATTTAGTGGATCAATCATAAGAGACGAAGTAGATCGTAATCCTGTTAATATCCTTGCCATTTGATTGTCTAAAATCTGGCATTTGTATCTGAAACATATATTTCCGTTGAAATGAAATAATTACCGTTTAGAGTTGACAAGTGAAAACCTTTGCGACCCCTTCTACGGGTTTCTATGAATGTGAGGTGTCATTATAAGGTTCTTCCACCCCAAACATTACGTATACTTTTGGTGTAGATATGGTGAGGAGAAAACCTGAATCATTTGATGGTGTGAATATGTTTACAAGTTGGCTAATAACAATGTTCCAAGAAAAGTTCTTGGACCTAGGGCTAGGTAATTCATAAATCTGCTTGATCATACAGTGCAGACTGCACTGTAAATCCAGTGCATGATATTAAACGATGGTACATTCTATGTTTGCAGAATCTCAGTCTTTCTGAAATTCTTGTAGAAGTTGAGAAGCGTGGATCATCTTTTGCTGAATTATTGGCAATTCCAGAACAGGACAATTGGGTTTACGTTGATGGGAAGTCAACATCATGTGTTGCTTTTGTCTTTGAATTGTACAAGGAAGCAGGACTTTTTGGTTCACTTGCAAGCTCGATTCAAGTTACCGAGTTCACAGTAAGTCAATGTCAAATATGATGAAATATTTTACACAATGTTTCTGTTGTTTCCTGTGTGCCAACTTTTTATCTTAGTTTCACATGAAAAAGCTTATAACAGTACTTTTAAAACATCAAAAATATTGAGGGTAAAGTAGATATATACGGAAAGAGATGATGCTCTAGTAATTGGCCTTGGATTATTATTGTCAAAGAATTCTGTGAATATCACGTGGTTCAATCAATTTTCTTACAACTGCAGATAAAAGATGCTTACACGCTCAAGATTTTTGAAAACAATTCAAGCCGGTTGCCTAAGTGGTGCAATGATGCAGACACAGCGAAGCTTCCGTATTGTCAAATTCTAGGGAGATACCGGATGGAACTACCTGGATACAATACCATGGATCCATACCCCCACATGAACGAAAGATGCCCATCGTTGCCACCAAAATATTTGAGACCAGCAGGTTGCTGATAGGCTCTGTTGCCCTCAATTTTGGGTTTTCATGCCCGATACTTTATATACTTTTAGCTTGTATATAGTTTTCTTCTATATACGACTTGTACATTAAGAGCATCTCTAATCGTAGTGTAAAATTGGGAGTAAATCGGTATCTCCAAATCACTTTCACATCCTCATTTACATCCCGGTGAATCTAAATTCAAATTATCCTCCAATGGAGGGATCTAAATCTACTTTTTGCCTCTTGTAGATGTAAAACGATGTAAATTTTTTACGTTTTCTGCCGAAAATGGCAATTTACATTTTATTTGCATCACTCCATTGGAGAGGTTTTCAGCCCCTTTGAAAATCTAAATCATACTTTACATCCATTTTGCACCACAATTGGAGATGCTCTAAGGATACAAGGCCGTGATGTTACTGTATGCAACTTGTATGTTCCAATAGGTCAACGTGTAACATTAAATAAGCTTGATGTTGGTTGCTAATTGAAGTTAAAAGTGGCTCAGGAGGTGAAAACATAGTCATGATTGTATACAACACACTTAGAAATTTGATTGAGCATGAGTTTTCAATTTCTTGTTATGGCGTTTGAAGCAATTTCTTGGAGCATGTTTGACTCTGCGATAATCATGCATTTTCGAAAAACTGTTTGTTTGAAAAAAGATTAGTATTTTATGGGATAGAATTTTACTTTCAGCCATAGAAAAGGATTAAGATGTAGCATTTCTGAATCTTTGGTGCCTGAAGTCATAAAGTTTCAGTGATTCAGTTGGTCAAAATGCTACTCCCGTTACCAGGCCATCTGTGTAAATTTTTCTAAATTTTCAATGATTCAGTTGATCAAAATGTCCATCCTGTCCTCAGTTATGGGGTTGCGTTTCTTTCTCCAGCTGAGCTTGCCTACAACAGTATAGTTAACTGTTTTGATCCATCCTGTCCTCAGTTATGGGGTTGCGTTTCTTTCTCCAGCTGAGCTTGCCTACAACAGTATAGTTAACTGGTCCACAGGGGGCAGGCCATCGTCCATAGTCCACACTAAAGTCCCTAACCAAACTTCGATTTTATTAATTTCCCAAAACGCGCCAGTAAGCCTGTAGAAATTTTGGCTGAAGGGGTCACTCAAATGCATCAAGAAGCAAAACTTGAAGCTACAGGAAGACAATGCAATGTATAAGGCAGTTGCTGACCATCACAAGCGACGAAAGAGTTTCTAGGAGGATGACTAGCTGATGGTTCATGTACGCATTAGAAAAAATTATGAAATTCCTTTCGAAAATTCTATCCGAGATAATTTTTGTTTCCTCCTGGGCTGATCATTATAAATTTGATAAACATTCTAAGTTCACTTATTTCAAATACATTCATTTAAAATAATGGTCATGCAATATTCTTTCATTGGGCAGGAACAATTAAATGAACAGTAGGTTTCTTGATTCACCAAACCGTGATTTTAACAGCATTGCCAAATCAAATTCTTTCCCAATACATTCCTTGAAAAATCCGCACCAAGTTATTGTGGTTACTTTGGCCTTATTTGAATTGGTAGTCCTTGAGCAGGTACTGGCACCGGATCTCTTCTAATGGAGTTGTCATTGCAGCATAGTTTCCAGTTAAATTGAGTAACCAGATAATGAACGGTGACTAGAGTTTCAATTCTTGCAAACTCGTACCCTGGACACATACGAGGCCCCCCTCCAAATGGAATATAGCAGTAAGGTGGTATGGGTGCTTGATTTTCAAATCGATAAGGGTCGAATTTTGAGGGTTCTTGAAATATATTGTTGTCCATGTGAGTCATGCTGGTAACCCAGAATACCTGTTTATCAATAAGAAGGTTGTGAGTTTAAACCCTTGCTTTTATATAGAAGGTGATAACCTACGTCTCCTTAAATGATCCGGGAAGGAGAACTGAGTTATTTTAGGTACACCAATGTAAATAAATTTGTAGCAGGGTCTAAAGAGTTTCTCTTACTTGCCATCCTTTTGGAATGAGGTATCCTTCATACTCGATGTCTTTCAATGTCTTTCTGAACCCTCCAAAAACTGGAGGAATCGTTCTCAGAGTCTCCATTGCCACTCTCCAAGTGTGCTTCATCTTGGCAAGATCTTGCCATGTCAAGAACTCTCCAGAGGGCTTGCTCTTTTTGATCTCCTCTTGTTCTGCAAATCCCAGACAACAAATGGTTGAAATTCATTTAAATTTCAAATCAATGGGGAAAAAATGCTTCCTGTTTCAGCCTCCCGGTGTTCAAGTAGTAGTCATATTCAGGATTTTCCACAAAAAAAAAAGGTCAGTTCAATACTGTAAACAAAAAGGGGAATTATACCTTTCAGAACAGCTGCATATATAGCTGGATCATTTGCTAAAAGTCGGACAATAAAAGAAATTAAAACTGCTGATGTGTCATGCCCTGCAACCATAACGAGCATGATATTGTGTACAATCTCATCTTCGGACACCAATTCTCTGTTGTCTTCTCCACGGATGTTGAGTAAGCTGGTAATGAGGTCTTGATGAGATGAAGCTGCACTTTCCAGTTCAACACGTTTCTCACGTACAAGGTCTTTCAGTATATTCTGGACCTTTGCACTGGCCTTGAGGCCACGGTTGAAGCGTGTTAAGGGAAAATTAATTGGGATTGACCACAATCCTTCAAGAATCTCTTGAAAATACTGGACCAGTTTATCTCTCCGTGCTCCTCGTTCAACACCAAAAAGAAGAGTGCATATTATGTTGAATGTGAGCGTCTTCATCAGTGGTAAGACCTAGGAAATGAAGGTAACAACATTGTATGCAGACATAGTCAAGGCTCAGACATACATTTGAGCTGATATGCTTGCGATCTCGGGTAAAATCAAAGAAGTTACAAGCAAGAACCATGAAGTTTCAAAGCATGAGTAAAGTATCTTGCTTAAGGTTCACGTTGAGGAACCGTTTTCAGTAAATCTCATAATAATATAACAAGTTTCGCTAAGCTTAAGAGAAAATACTAAATACGGAGTCTGCAGAACAAGCCTAAAACATAATGTGACGTTATAAGATTAGTAGTTCAAATGTATAAAATACTACATACTGTAATGTTTTGCTTCCCATTCCAATGCATCTCAAGATGCCTCCTGACCTCTTCTTCCATTTCTCCAATATAGAGCTTTAAACATTCCGGCTTCAGGAACGAAGCAAGAGCACTTCGTACTCGCTTATGATCTTCACCACTGAGTTCAGACAAACACCTGTCGCCCAAAATCATTTTAATTGATTCGGTCTGATGGTTATTCATTATACTGTCATCACTAGTGAAGACAAACTTGTTAGCAGCCTGTCCATGTATAAAAACTGCTGGTTTTCCAAAGAGACTAAGCTTCGAGATTGGACCGTATCTTTTCGCTCGTTCGGCTATCCATCTGTCAGCAGTGTTGGCCCTCATTGCCCACAGGAAGCTAAGGCTTTGGCCAATGACTGGTAACCCTAGAGATCCTGGGGGCACCCTGTCTGATGATCTTTTTCTCCTCACTAGGAGAAAGAAGACAGGCAAAAGAATGCAAAGAAATATATTCATAGTTTAGACTCGAGAGAGAGAGCCTAACTGGCAGACTGCAGATGAGGTGCATATACAATAGAGATTACAGAGACAGGTGACCAAATTATATGTTAGTTTATGGAAGGTTATTGTCTGTCAATGGTGTTATTTTAGTTGACTTAAAATAATAACAGCTAATGAGTTCATAAATGACGTTTATAAAAGAGTTTTTAATGATGATAATAAAAGGAAGTGGTTATGTTGGATGCATATGCTTGTTTTTATCTACCTACCTCATATTATTCTAAGTTTCTAACAGAAGTTTCCTCTTGGGCAGGAGATTAAGCTCTTATTCCACTCTTTTCAACCCCTGTATTGTTCTGGTAGACGAAGTATGCATCATTCAAGCCCTTGGCTTCTTGAACCGGGATGAAGATTTTATTGTTCTCGGTAAATTATGACAGGTTTGATGGTTATTTAGACCGTATGTTAGCTAATATGCTTCGACCTTAACACTCTAACATATAACGTGGTTGATCACGTTCAGTTCAACTAGATATGTTAAGTTGAAAGCACAAGGCTTTTTAAAGTAATCCAACAAAACAATGACTTCGACCAGCAGCAAACTCTACATTCCATCAACAATAGTATTCTATCGTTAATCTCTTCACAGTCCTTCATATTCAGAAAACAATAAAATGTACAGTCTGTGTGTAAAACAACAAAATGCTATACTGCAATGTCAAAAGGTAGAAAATTTTATTGTTACTCTCTTGGGTACATTCTTTGTATTCAGGAAACAAAAACAAAATACCATACTCCAATGTCAATCAGTCAATCTCGTGGCACCTGTAACATGAACTCATAGTGTGGAATCGCATATGAAGAATTGGTCAATGCCATCACTCAAGTCTTTGCAGGGATATGGTTTCCACCCATTGCAATCTTGTAAAGATAAAATCCAGTCATGAGGACGCTGCAAATAGCAAGCCATTATAAAATTTTAGATAAAGTGTATTAACTCATAAACAGCTCGTAGTCAATTAAAACTAGTACAATAAATTTTTATATGCAACAACAAAAAACAAACAAGGTGACAGAATTCAGAAAATAGAAACCCTCACCTTTTCCTTGCTCTCAACAACATTCTCATACAAAAGAAAATGAACCACAAACTTGAATTATCCACTTCAATAATTAACATTAGTAACTTATAAACCTTATAATCCTGTTAACCATTTTCCATGAAACTTCGATATTACAGGCCACATTTTATCCATGATTCTCAGCAGTTAACTTCAACATTTTCAAAGTTCAACTATCATATGCAAGAATTAGGTAGCTATCAGAAAAGTAAAATCGGTTCATCGTTGATCTACAAAATGCATCAGGATATAGCGAACAAAATGCATGTAGCTACAAATGCTAGTAAAAATTGAAGAAAAAAAGTAGATATATAGAACAGGCTGAGTTAGGTCAATAATAGTTGGTTTATGAGGGCCCGGGCGGTACCCCCCACTCCCAATTGCCTCTTTACGTTTTTACTTCACCAACTTCTTTTGGTTATATGTTTCCATAGAAAACAATTATTATCAATTGAATTCTGCAGAACATAAACACAAAAAATTAGTGCAACACTACACAACCTGATATGCAGTGAAACTTATATGATACGATATAGCAGAAGCTAAAGAATGCAGATAACAGGACGCAAATTTGAACATCCAAAACCAGTTGCAAGGGTATGCGTAGTCATTTTCAGTTACCTGATCCCAGCAACAATACCAGCTGGCATTATTTTTGAAGTTTGCATGTACCGCTGTCCCATGACCCATGTCAGCATAGCAGCATAGGCTGTTGAAAAGCCACTTAAATTGGTAAAAGAGTAAAGAAATAAGCGATGACACGAGGAAAATAAAAAGGGCAAAGCAAGTTCAATTTACCATTCAATATGTTTTAAGTTGGCATGGTTAAGAATCGAGATGATAGGAAGCACAACAATTATAATGATGTATTACTGAAAAGGTAAAATTTGAATCCTAAATGAAACATCTAGAGCGGTCATCAAGTTAAAATTAACGAATTGACATGATCCTGTAAATTCATACATAAAGTTCGAATTGTTTTAGCATCACAAATTTGTATGCTAGGGGTATTAAATTATTTCAATCAGGATGGCATTTTCACTTTTACGCATGCCATCAAGGTGCTTCAACCAATTTCATTCATATCATGCACTTGTGGCCCATCATTACCCGGCAACCCTACCCTAGCCACAATAAGACATGGCCAAAGAGAAGGCTTTCAATTAACCAACAAATTACAGCAATACGAAAGCTTTATCTCACTTGTGTAACATCAACAATTTAGGAACTGTCTAACTATGAACTGATAAAAATTTAATCAACCTCCTCCAGAGACAATGATAAGTAAATTTTGACAGGCTACCCCAGCTTGGTCCACATTAAAGTTAATGTAGTACAACTCTATACCAGATTCAGGTTTGCCTTAACAGACAGCCAAAAGCAATTGCAGAAATAGGATAATTTTATGAGACATTTCCAGCTCTATTTTTGGCTTTGATTGAAAGATGATAGGAGGATACCTGCTTGATGCTTGAAAGAAATACCAATATCCTTGAGTTGAGACGTGCCTTCAGAAAACTCTATAACATGTCTATTTTCAGGTCAAGAGGAACAACAATTGCAGTTTGTTGTAATAGATTTGGAGTAGCCATTGAAGATTATTCACGCACACTTTGGTATTCTGGATCATTCAGACTGAGTTTTGCAAGATCTCGAACTGACTTTGTTTGAGTTGCTGAGAACAGTAAAGTTTGTTGGTGCTTTGGTAACTGAGATATTATTGCATTTATTTCTTTCTCAAATTCCACATCAAGAATACGATCTGCCTCGTCAAGCACTAAAACCTGCTACCTGGCCAGATATTTACACCAGAGTCTGCTAATCATTGGCTCTAAGCAAACAGATTCAGATAGAAGAAAATGAGAACGAATAATGTAATTAGCAGACCCCCCTTACAGGTGAACTACCCTGATGGGGCTCTTCTGCCTTTGTTGAAACCAAAAACATTAAGGAAACCCCCCCCCCCCCAACCTTGAAAAAAAAGGGGCCTATCCTAACTCCATATTCTCCACAATTTTATATTAGTCCTCATGAAAAGGCTGAAATGTAGAAATGCCACGGTAAATATGCCAAAGAAATAGTTACAATGAAGGAAAGCCAAATGAGAATATCAAAAGAAGACCTGAAGCTGTGAACAATCAAAATTTGGTGTCTCATCCATGTACTGGAGAAGACGGCCTGGAGTGCAAACCAATATGTTCCAACTCATTAACGCGCTCTTTCTCTGTGTCAACACCTTTGCGGCCACCAATTAGAAGGCCAGCACTAAAACCACGATGCCTCCCAACAGATTTTAGTACCTTAAAAAGCTGACTAGCTTGTTCCCTTGTGGAGAAATGATGATGCACCCAACCCCATCCTCTGGACCCCATCAAGCCTGGTATAACTTCTCCAAAACCTGAAGAAGAAAGAAGACATGGTGTAAAGTGAGTCATACTTCTCAATGTCAATTAATACGATTAACTACAAGTGCAAGGAATACACAATAATCATAGTCAAATTTACACCAGAAAATTGCTTCGTTATCATGTTTTGGACCGTAGTCCTAAGATTGGACGCTCTCCAAGAAATGCATGAGCTCAGATGAGCCACATAAGAAATGCATAGGCAGGTGCATAAGAAATGCATATGGAGATGTATGCTGGTAGAATATTCTATACCATGAACCATTCTGTACCTGCGTGCAGACTGCTAAAAAATTGGTTGCTCAAATCCGTAAATTTAACTTATCTCATTCATGATAAATACAGGCCTCCTCATGTCAAACAACAGCTATACCAACTAATGCAGTTTCCTGTCACTGAAGAAGGCATTTAGTATAACTAAATTAACGGCCTAAAGTCACTCAACACTTCCATTTTTTCTTCTAAATTTCCAATCTCAAACCTCATTGGAGCTAAAAGGATATCAACATAGTTTCTTAATATATTTGCTACTCCAAAATAGTACCATGTACACACAGGACTGCAAGTGTTTTTGCAAACATTCACTTATAAGAAAGAAAGTTCGATACATTCTTAATATTTATTGTTTTCTGCAGTAAACTTGCAGCCAAAGAAAACCCAGCTTCCGTAAAATACTAATTCTCAGAATATCAAAACTAAAATGCAATCAGAAATCAGAAATCAGAAATATATAATCTAAGTGTCAAACCTGCGCTCGTATAACCTGTATAAATATATAAAAAACAATCTTATTGAACAATAACAGGTTCACCAATTTGATAACCAACAAAAAATAAAAATCAACATATCCACAGCAAATAAGCAAAAAGAAAAATCAATATCAAATTATATTCCACAATCAAATTATTTCCCGTAATTCCAGAACAGGCACAAACTAGAGTAACAAAAACCAGGGTCTTTCGGTACCCAGTTTTCGCAGCGCCAATGATATCGCTGCCACAGAGCGAGTTTGGTAGCGAAGCCCTCTGAATATCAGTCATTTTTGAGTACTTGAATTCGGCCGACCCATCTTTAGTTCTCTTTAACAATGGTAACTGGCCGAATTTTTTGACTCCAGCATATGGAGAAAACGAGCCGTCCGGTAGTTTACCAATTCAAGACTTCAAGGGTAAAGGAGATAAGGGCAGCGGGTTGGGCGTTTGCCCGACTGGATCCATGACTCGAGCAGCTCGAGTTCTTAGAGCTCTGAATGGCGTTTCTGGAGCTTAAATTTCTTAGATTTAGTGGGTCTTCTCGTTTTCTTCAAGAGGTGGAATGGGGTTTTCTGAGTCTGGAGGGAAAGGTGAGAAAAACGCAGGGTATAGGTTTTTTTTTTTTTTTTTTTTTTTAAACAGTCGAACCAGAACAAATGTGTCAAAATGGGGACGAAGGGAATGAAGCCTGCTATGTGTACACAAAAAGAGTTGTCAATAGAAAACACTTTGGCAGCTTTCAATTGATAAATGGCGGCAACAAAACAATCTTGCCATATGAATGGATAAATGACAGAATTTAGCCCGATTAAGCTCTCCCGTTTGGTCCCATTAAATTCTATTTTATTTTTTTCTTTTCTATTTTTAACTACACAATTTTTTATAAAATAATATTACATATATATCAAATTTTTCTTCTTATTTTTCAACCACTCATTTTTCAAAAAAATAATATTCCACCTATGTTCATTTCCAAACAATGGGGGCCAAACGAGGGTTAAAATCCAATTTTAATTTAAATCAAAATCAAACAATTAATATTAACCATATCTTTCATAGGGTTCCACAACTTTCAATCACATATCGATAGCATCTGTAACAATTTCGACGGCACTTACACTGTACAAGGAGAATCATTGTTAGTTGGTTTGTAACTATGGACCATGATGTAGGGGGTTAGGCTTCAAAAATGGTCAAATCATAAAATAAAAAAGAATTGATAATTCGAAACTATTGATCGAGTACATAAATTCGTTTACGTGTTGCTTTTTAATTTAAGTCTTTCGATTCAGGAGTCAATACTTAAAAATTATTAAAACTAAATCGAACAATGTACAAAACCTTTTAAATATATATATATATATCATTCAATCCAAGTGAATTTTTAGCCAAGGATTGTTGAAATATTTTGGGTAGTGGTAATATTTACAAATTTGCTTTAGTTTATGTTTGGGAGGCTTTTTAGGAATTAAGAATGCTTATGGAAGGTCAAAAGAACTATATAAAAATACAGTTGTTTAGTTACGATCGTAGAAGTAAAGAAGTTCCGATTTGAAACTTTTATAAAAAATTAATCTTACCTAATTTCACTGGTGTTTAATATTAATTTTGATGGCAATATATGTGACATTAAATGACAAGTTTATTTAAATGTAATGAATTATGATCTACTAACTTGGATTTATCATGTGTTGTTATTTAAATTGGTGTTCTAATAATTGTGGCTTGCATTGTTCTTCCTAAAAAGCTCTAAACATAACTTTTATGAAAAACTAAAATTTGCATTATTTATGTCTATTAAATTATAGCAAAATATTAAATATATATAATTTTTTTATACTTCAATTTAACATAATTTAGTGGATTCCTTTTTAATGGTTAATATGACATTTTTATTTTTATTCTTATTTTTATATTTTTATTTTTCTTCATTTGTTAGTCTATGAAATGAAATTCTAGGTGATACAAGAAACTATTGTATTTCATGTTAATGTGCCATTTTTAAACATCTTAAACCAGAGTCAACAATTAATTTTAATTATACATTTTATGGGATTCACAATTTTTTCAACATAACTTTCATCATTTTTTATGAAAATTCTACTTAACTTTGAATTTAATCCTCAGTGATTTATATAATTATACTTCTCATTTAATGACGCATTAGTATCACATAGATTGATGTTTTAAACGAGTAGTACAACAACACCAATTATGTGGCGCCAATTGAAATGTTCAATGAAAGATAAAATTAAGTGATTTATTTAATTATACCTCTCATTTAATGCTACATTAATACCTCTTAGATTGATGTTTTTATTTGGTGTACAATACCAGTACATGTGACGCTAAGTAAGAGGTTAAGGACCTTGCTGTTCGTACAGGGAGGGTTTGACACCCTCCTTGACAGGACAGACTCATAGGGGGAGGGGAAGCAATTTTTATCATTTTTTTTTTATTCAGGTCCCACGCGAATGTGAGAATCTGTCAAGAAGGTGACAAACCATTTTTCTGTACAAATGATATTTTTCATAGGCTAAATGAAAGGTACAATTAAGTAATTCATTTAATTATACATCTCATTTAATGTAATATTAGTACTATTTAAATCATATATGTTTGAGCCTCATAATTTTTTAAGAATACATTTTAAAATAATAGATTGAGAACGAATATTTAATTAAAAGCTTTATAAAGTATAATTAAAAGATCTATTCATGATAATCGTGCCAAATGGAGACTTGACCAAACAAACAGAGTACGATAGTAAAAGAGACTATTGAAAACGTAAATCAAAACACACCCATTTTTATTCCTTGTTAAGAAATTTCGTCTTGTTCATTTGGACCACAACGTTTCCTGAGAAGTAAAAAGAGTCCTTCCCCTCGTCACTAAAATCCCAAGGCTTGTCAACAATTCAATTTCAAACTTGATCATATATGTGTACATATAATTACACTCAGGGAGAAATGGGTTGCAGAAATGGCGGCCTGAGGGAGGAAGAGAACGACGCGATGGCGGCTTCACTGACAGCGAGCGACGCTTTGCTATTCGCAACCATGTGCATCGTTGAGCTCCCGGTGGATGTTCATGCAAAGGATGGCTCTATTTATACTGGAATTTTTTACACCGCCCGTGTCGACAAGGACTATGGTACTCTTGAAATTCTCAAGAATCCGTCCTGAGTTTTGTTTATTACGTCTCATCCTTTATGGGCTTATGGTAGATTTGTAATTTAATTTTGCCGATTGATCTTTGCCCCCCACCCCCCCCAAAAAGAGAGAGAGAGAGAGAGAGAGAGAGAGAGAGAGAGAGAGAGCAGTTAATAATCATTTTTTAGCCCCTGTTTGACATCCATTTTACTGATTTTTTATTTTTTTGGGGGAAAAATGAGTTTTTCAATAGTTTTTTATTTTTTATTTTTTTTTAATTGTGGGGGAGAATGTGCGGTTAAAAAGTACTAAAATGTTTTGGATTTATTTTAAATATATTTTATTGTGTATGTGTAGTTGCAAATGACTTCGAGCAAAAATAAAGTTTTGATTTAATGGATGTCAAACAGGTGCTAAATTAAAAGCCTAGATTTTTTGAGTTTTGGATTATGTTGATTTATCATATTCTACTGTAGGATTGGTAAAAGTTAAGGCAGTTGTTTATTTGTACAAATTGAAGAAATTGTAAATTAAGTACCTTTCGAATTTATAGAACTGCTCACTTGCTAGGCACAGTGATGATTAGAGTTATTGTCTTGTTACCTTTGTAATCTATTTATATATGTTTGGTCCAGCTGTAGTGCTGAAGAATGCGAGGATGATTAAAAAGGGGAACCGGGCTTCAAATGTTGCAAATGGGAGTATGATAGAAACACTTATAGTTCAGTCAGAAGATCTTGTACAAGTTGTTGCTAAGGCATGTCCATGTGCTTTTGTTGATTTAATCTTCATTTCCTCTTGGATTAAAATCTGACTCCAAATTTTTGTAATAAATTTTGGCCTATGTTTAGGAAGTTCCTATTCCTTCAAATGAAGTTTCTGGATATCTAAGGAGGGATGGTTTAGAGGCCATTGCAGGCACTAATGAATGTTCAGAGAGGGAGGCAAAAGCTAACGAGTCCAGTGGCGATAAAAAGCACAGAAGTGAGACAAGGTACCATATCCACAACACTATCCAGGCTCTAAGCTTGTTGCTTGAGACGCTTGATTGTTGAGAACATTGTAATTTTATGGGAACAATTAGTAGGGATCATATTCTTAAACTCCAAATTACATGTAGGTTTTCAGCTAGCTCAGAGAATGATTTTGCTTATAGTTTTGCAGCTGATGTGGAAAGTCACTCGAGCAGATCCACAGAAGAAGAAAATGAGAGATCAGATGGCACTGATTTTGGAAAGGTGAACTTTAAAGTGAAGAATGGTTTATTACCCACTGGAAGAATAATTGCAATATATTTTTACAGGACGGTTATAGTAAAGTACCAGAGGGCATCTGCATGCTATTTGTGCCTCTATAGTTTTCATGATATGCATTTTGTACTTTTTCGCATGATAAATTAGAATCAAAATTGGAATGGCTTATTAAGGTTTTCATTTTTTTATTTTTTATTTTTGATGCAGATGGAGGAGGCACATATTGTTTCGGTTGGTGGAAGGTAGATTTTGAAGTATTTTGATTTCCTCACTTTGTTTTTCCCTTTTCTTTTTTCCTTCTATCCTGTCTATTTATTACGCTTGTCATGCATTTAACTTGAGTTCTTTTAGTTGTTGAATGGATATCTTGGCATTTATCTCGTGTGGTTTCATCTCGTTAACTCATCTGTATACTGCATATTCTACCTTAGCCCTTGTTTGTGCTCCCTCAATTCCAAAATGCATTTTTCTCCTCTTCTTTTCATCCACACCTTCTCCAACAAAATAATATTATATGTAAATCCAAAATTTTCCTTTTTTTTTAACTGCACATTCTTCAAAAACTCACTATTAAAAAATACATTTTTTCCCAAAAGCTAATTATAATGGAGCTCAAACATGGGTTAGCTTCAGAATATTCGTGAGTACCTTATGTTGTATTGTGGCATTGCGAAATGCATCAATTAGCGATCATGTTTTTGTTTTTTTTTTTTTTTTAATTGTTGTCTGGCCACTCTTTATGTCTATCTAATGTTGGCATGCTTACCTATTTTATCATGAGATTGTTGTTTTTCTTTGTTGTTCTTGAGATTGTTCTAGTATTTTTTTTTTCCTTCTTTGTCCTCATATGTTCTTGTACTTTCAACATAGCTTTTCCATTTTTCGAGTTTGATTGTTCTTTTTCTAAGTTTATATCATCGTCCACAAATTCCTTCGCTTTATCATTGCCAGACAGATTTGGGATGTCTCGGGGGAAAAACAGAGTAATCACAGAGAGAACCCTGAGTTTCAAGATGAAAAAACTGTATGTTAATATCCGAATATACCGATTCATTTAGTGAAATTTTTAATTTTTCTGATCCTTTGTCAATTGGCATAATTCATCTCTCTTTATTTTGCAGACCTGTGAAGTTCAAGGCTCAAGTTTAAGCTGTGAGTTTCTTTCGTACTTCTTATTAGTTGCAATAGTTTGATGATGTATTTTGGATGCCTGGTATGATATGGGTTTTGCAGGGCAAACAAGGGTCTTTATTGGAACTAAAAATGATATTGGGAGGAAAATTTAAGAGATCTAATTGCGTTTTTATTTCTGCTTACCAAAATCTTGAGAAAAATGTTTGAGAGCAAGATAGACATTCTTGGTCTGTTCAGGGGGCTGTGAATATCACCCAAGAACGTTGCTCATATAGATTTAGGAATTTTTAAATATTTGTGGCTTATGAGTTGAGGAAAAGGGTTGGTTGGGAAACATGACCGAAGTTAAAGCATAATATAATCACCTTGTTGAATTTAAATCTTTAACTGCAGAATATTATGAAAAAATGAGGGTTTGCATGCAATAAATCCTACTACTTCCCCGGTACCCCAGCCTAGGTTGGAATTGCAATTGCATTGCAGATAATTTATAATCACTTGGTCAGTGATGAATGGAATCTTTGCTAATCTATAATCACTTGGTCAGTGATGAATGGAATCTTTGCTTGATTTTGTATGGGAAACAGAAAAAGATTTCCTTGGTATTATTATGTATTTTTTGGTCGCTATGATACATGACTTCTTTTTTTTTGCTCGTCTAATTTAAACAATTTCTTGGCCCCATAGAAGACAGTCAAGTTGTAGTAACAACCATTTATCAGAGGTTAACCAGGATTCATTAAGATAAATTGCAGCATTAGTGGATACACAAAGCTTGGTGGTTGTAGGGAATATTTGAAAAAGCATTCTGCTAGATGGCATCTGAATGTGGATGTTGTTAGTTGCTGTTTTTTGATGCTAGCGTCCTTACTAGAAAGAGTGTCCAGCAATGAGAAACTTAGTATCGGGTCATGCTATGAGTGTTATCATTGCTCCTACCTATCTATTCATTTTACTGGGCTAAGCTGATTGATTTTCTAATTTATGAGAACTTCCATACTTCTTTTATTCTGGCTTCATATAGTTCTATTTCTTTGCATATAGTGGATGTTTGTCAATCTCAATCAACTGCTGCTGAGAATATATTGGGGGAAATGGATATGCAAAATATGCTTAAAGGATTATCTTCTGGTAGTCATGCTGCCACCATGGTCAAACTGGATAATCAGAATCAAAAGAGGCCCACTTCAGAAAAGACCAAAAGTCCAGATGCTCTTTCATCTAGTGTTTCTGTAGCTGTCACCCCGACCGTCATCGTTTCTTCAGGGTCAAACCCCAGTTCATCCTCGGCTTCTACTCCATCAGTGCCTCCAAAAGGTTCCAATTTAAATAGAGCTGCTAAGGTAAAGTGGATTTTCAGGATGATTTAATTTTTTACCTAACATATGAGTTCCGCCTTCAAAAATTATTCTACATTTATCTATTCCCTAAACCACCTTTGAAAGATCTTGGTGTTTGTGATGTTTGATACTTAAGTTCCGTTGCTCTTTCAGCATGAATTACTATTCTTTATTAAATGTTCATTCAAAATTTTCAGGAACATTTGTCATTGTTCGGTTATTGAATTTGAGAATATAGATATAAGAACTTGAGTTAATTAAACAAAAAAAATAAAATAAAAAAATTTCAAAGTGTTATAAGTTGAGCACATTATTTAGTTCACAATTTTAGCCAGTATTCCCTTCTGTTTAGGAATTCAAGCTCAATCCTGAAGCAAAAATATTTTCTCCCTCGCCATTGCATCATAGATCAGTGACTCCTCCTGCAGTGCAAGCAGAAGCAAGTGTTACTTACATGCCAGAAGTCTACGCTATGGTACCAATTGCTACTGCAGAAAACAAAGATGACATCAGTTTGTTTGCTCCTCATTCTTCTCTGCCTGTGACATTTGTCCCATACAATGATGTCATCATTGGAAATGGCAGCAGTGATGCACCATATGCCCAACCTGTAAGCATTGCTGTTTTAAAATAACTATAGATTGTAGTTTTTCCTATTGCAAATTTACTTTTATTTTTCTTGAAAACATTAATCATTAAATTGTTGTTATCTCCATTTGCAAAACTCTGATGTATCGTTTTGATTCTTTTCCCATCTTATTCTTCCCTAACCAATTCATTATTCAATGACACGCTTGTTTTAGGTTATTCATTACCGTTTAACTCTCTATTTTGGGAAGTGTGCTGAAAGCTATGTTTCTAAAATATTTGATGCTGCTATATATATCATTGTTTCTTTTTCCATGTGTAGGTCGTTTGCCAAGTCTTAAGCACGACACAACCAATTAGATATGCCAGTCAGTATCATAACCTTCAAGCTGGGACTGCTTATATGTATCCAAATTCTCAAAATGTATATAGTATGGTTGTTTACACTCTTATTTACTGCAATATCATAGTAGTAGAATACAAACGTTTTGCAATGGGGTGGCTGATATTTTACCGATTGATGCTGTCAGGTTATTGCAGGACGAGCGGGGCCTCTTGTTTGTGTGTATCCCATTTCAGTAAGACACAACCCATGACCGAGCATGTCGAAATTATAATGCTTTATATTCTCCAAACATGCACTTACGGCCCCGTTTGGTAGCCATTTTTTTCAAAATGCATTTTTCTCTCTCTTCTTTTCAATCACATTCTTTATTAAAATAATATTACACGTAAATCAAAAAATTTTCCTTATTTCTCAACCACACATTTCACATCAATTTAATGCATTTTTACATAAAAATGCCTATCAAACACCCCCTACATGTATGAGCATTGTCATATGCATATCAGGGAAGAAACTGCAAAATACTCTCTCTTATACTCGTGCGACCAAAAAGCTTGCTTGATGCAAAATTTCATATTTGTTCATCTTTGCTTGTGTTTTTATCTCATCTTCTGCTTTTGGTATTGATGGCACCTTTGATCTGCTACCATCCAACTTCATAATTGTTTATTCCCTTTGTATGCTTGTTTAAGGACACCATTCCGAGTGCGGCAGGATATTCTCAAGCAGCTACAGGACCTCTCTTAACTCCACATCAAATGCGTCATCCCAAGTACCAAGGTATAAACTCTACAAGTTTATTGTTGATCATTGAAGTGCATTACTGAAAGTTGGATTATTTCTTTTAAGTGTTCTATTATTCGTGTATAATAAAAGTTAAAAGCCTGAAAAGAAATTTGCAGTCTTCCTGCTTGTTTCCTTGATATTTGATGTGTAAGCATACCCTTTATTATTCAGCTCTTGGAAATATAGTTTTTACTTGACGTCATAATTGTAGAAGAACTAGTCATCAAGCAGGCAGCAGTAGTTCAGGT